AGGACTAAACCAGGACTAAGCTTGTCCAGTCAGTGTGTCTGTCTGTCCCAGTGTCTGTTGTACTAGAACAGGTGTCGGCAACCCGCGACCCGGAGCTGCATGCGGCTCTTTAGCACCCCCCTAGTGGCTCCCTGGAGCTTTTTGTTTTTTTGGTTGTAGTTTTAATCTGGTTTCTTTAGGGGTAAAACCCTCGTTCATCTCTGGTCATGGATCTGATCCATCAGCTGTGAAACACATGAAAAGTGTTTCAGCAGAACAAATAGATGAGCTGAAGCAGGGGTGGTGTCCGGTGCCTCCACCTGAGAAGAACTTTCCCCGAAAAAAAAACAACAAAAAAACACATGCGCGGACGGATGCTCAGAACAACATATAACGAACCAAACGGGATTCACGCTTCTGTTCGGATGCTGCACCACATCAGAACCAGACCAGAGCACCCGGACCTGTGGTCCACAGCACATTCTCACTTTTCCTGCACGGAACCAGCGCACAGATGACGACACTGAAGCACTGGACCCAGTCCTTTGTGCGCTGGTCTTGCTCGCCCCCGTCTGGAACCAGGACATGGAGGACGAAGCCTCCGGACCATCTGACCAACACTGGACCCACAGCCCCGTCTTGAGGAGCTGCTCTGACTGCTCCAGGTGTTTGGCGCTGCTGCTGAGCTCAGAGCTTCTGCTCCGAGCTGATGTGGTGTGGTGAGTTTGTACAAAGTTCTACATGCTGTTGTTTTCTGAGTGCTCCTGCATGATCAGAAGAAATGCGACTGCTGCTCTGATGCTTCCATCATCGTCGTCATAGCAACAGGTAAACGTCGGTTGCACTTTCGGCGCGTCAGCTCCTAAAACTCCGTTTATCTCAGTTTACACACAAACGTGAAACCGGACTTTTTGGAGAATCTCCACTCTAGCTGGATTATTTTTTATTTTTTTAGAAAGATTCGTTTTCAGAGGCGTTTGTGTGTAAACGATGTGAACAAACAAAGGGAAATGTCTCCGTTTTTAAAAATACCCGTGTACGTGTAAACGGGGCCTAAATGACAAAGGAATAAACACTAACCACCCGAGTTCAGTGGCTGTTCAGTTCAGTATGAGAGGGTCGCAAAAGGGGTTTGTGTATCATGATGCTCATTTTGTATTTGTATCCGACTTAGTCATTTTAATAGTCGGCTTATACAGCTAATATACTGACAGCCTGTGTTGCCTTCATATTAGGCTTATATAAGACTTTAAATTTTTTGCGGCTCCAGGCAGGTTTGGTTTTAGTTTTTTTGGGCCAATATGGCTCTTTGAACATTTTGCGTTGCCGACCCCTGATCTAGAGACTCACTCACACTGGGACTTTTGGGTCGTGTGGTGCTCAGACGCTGTTACCTGTGGTTCTGTGGTTCTGTGGTTCTGTGGTTTTGTGGTTCTGTGGTTTTGTGGTTCTGTGGTTTTGTGGTTCTGCGGTTTTGTGGTTCTGTGGTTCTGTGGTTTTCTGTGGTTTTGTGGTTCTGTGGTTCTGTGTTCTGTGGGTTTTGTGGTTCTGTGGTTTTGTGGTTCTGTGTTTTTGTGGTTCTGTGTTTTGTGGTTCTGTGGTTTTGTGGTTTTGTGTTTTGTGGTTCTGTGGTTCTGTGGTTCTGTGGTTTTGTGGTTCTGTGGTTCTGTGGTTCTGTGTTTCTGTGGTTTTGTGGTTCTGTGGTTTTGTGGTTCTGTGGTTCTGTGGTTCTGTGGTTTTGTGGTTCTGTGGTTCTGTGGTTCATGTTCACACCTGCGCGGTCGATGGCGTCGTCACGCGGTGCTGTTTGTTTGCATGTTGCACACGGAGTCGGTGCTTTTGGCAGGAGGGTGGGAAAAGCGGTGGGACTGATGTTGCGGTCGCGCTTCGTGGTGAGTTTGTGGATGTGGTGTTGGTGCGCGGGACAGAGGCTGTGGAGCTTCTGTCACCTCCTTTTTATTTGTCCAGATTTTATATTATTTGGATTTCATAGACGAGCGTAAATGTTTAAATATAATTCACAGGCTTCTATATAATATCAAATATACAAAGTGTAGATTGTGCAGAGTCGAGTCTCAGGTCTGGTCTGGTTCCTGTTTTGTCCAGTTCATTAAAGGTTGTAAAGAGAATTTTCCAAGGAACGAGAAATCCAGCGACTGTTTGTCCTTTTTCAAATGTTGCGCATGTGTGAAACCACCCCCCCTCCCCTACAGCTCCTACGTAGAAACACCTCCTCCCGCCTCCTCCTTACGCCACAAACAGGTTTGTTTCTAGAAAACAAGTCCTCATCGCTGCACATGACTTGTAAACAACTAACTACAGTGTTGGTTAGACAAGACGGAGAAGTGAGGAGCGGGGGGAGCGGGTGCGCGGACATTTCGTGCGCGGACGAGAAGTGAGGAGCAGGAAGAAGAGCGGAGCAGGGACGGAGAGAGGAGGAGAGGGGGAGCGGTACGCGGAGATTCAGTGCGAATGAAGCTACTACTACAACACGCAGCAGCAAGCGGACTCTTTCTTTGCATTGAAAATTACGTTTTCAGACACAGGATATCGCATTCGTGTCCTGAAAAACGTTTGTGTAGCTCTTGGAAATAAAGTACGTTTTCATAATAAGCAGAAGTTTCCTGTCCAGGAGTAATTTGTGGACCAGTGCGTTCAGTCTTTAGACCCTTCGTCTGCTTCAGTCGCGCCATCGCTGGAATGAATCTTCCAAGAATCACCTTAGTTTGGCTTCGCTGCTTTTCCCCTTGTCTTCTTCTTTCAGCGACCTCAAAAACGGACTTTCTTTTGTGGCGAACT